GAATCGCAGGACTTACACCAGTACACCTACAACCCTTCAAAGGTTGACGATTGTAGTTTGTGGAATGTCCGGACACAAACAAGAATAACCAACAATCACAATAATTGGAACTCACACAATTATTTAACACAGACTTATGTGCAATCAACACATCAAATGTGGTGGATTCTGGCATGACAAACTACCCTTGAAGAACTGTAGGACTTACAGCAGTACGCCTACAACCCTTCTCAGGTTGACGCTCTAGGTTGGAAAATCGTCGCAGAGTTCATTTGCTAACTTCCTTCTATCAGCTATATCCTCAAATCTGAACGGCAACACGCCCATGTCATTGTATCGTAGAATATAGATGACGAACAAACACACGACATATCTCATCAACCAAGTGTAGAAACAGAGTAATTTACACCAAAGATAATAACATTCAAATAGTAACTTGAAACTAGAAATGCCTTTATTCGTGCAAGTCAATTTAACAATTACTCTCTCGTTTACACTTGGCTTATTCTCACTAAACTGACCATTGATATTCGTCCTTTCAAACGAACTGATACTAGCATAGTCATTGCACAAGATACTTGAGTTGATGGGTGTCTGTTTCATTGTGGATGACAGCACCAACGACGACTGATTGATATCAGTTGATGAACTTAGCGGTGGATCAGAAGCTGTTGTTGTTCGGCTTTCAGATAGTTGTCTAACTGCAAGACCACCACCACTGCTGTCTCTTACTATCAGCTCAGGTTTAGCACTATCATCTGATGATAGGTAGGCTACTTGCTGATCAATTACACTGATGGTCTCACAAGTATCCATACCTTCTGCAACTGCATATACAATTATTTCTACTTCACCTTCAAATTGTACAGAACCTTTGTTCAACTTAGCAGTAGTAGGCATTCCCCTCATTTCATAATGATCAACCAAAGACAAATCTGCACTATCATGATCATTATCACAAATATTCAATTTACCAGAATCTATCTGGTCGATTTCATCATTTTCAAACTCTTTAATAACAGCAGTGGATGATTTGGGTTCTTCCTCACAAATCCCTAAAGATTTTATACCTTCACTCTCTCTAGTAATACCTTGTGAACTTGTGGAGTCAGAACTGGACTCTGAAGCAGCAACTCTATTCTGTGACACTCTATTCAACAATGGCTTACCAGTTGCAACTACAGACTTCTTCACAACACCGTTATCGTCACACAATTCGGAGTCAGACCTAGATATCACATTCTGCTTATCACTGAACTTGCTCACTGGTTCACAGTTCACCTTTGTATGCACCTCTTGCAAACGTGTGAAACACAACCGTGCTTGTCTTGCATCTTGTAACTTATCTGTTGAGGATGTACTACGAAACCTGTTACACTCACTAGGTCTATATGCATTACTAGACACCATGGAGCCTTCTCGATATCCACCTCTCTGAGGCCTATTCGTCATCAATGATTGCTTTTTTCCCTCAGACTGCTCTACTCTAGGGGTGAGATTCAATATACTGGCAAACTCGCTCATAGATTCATTGACACTATTGTTTACCAGTTTCAGAATGTCATCGAACTTTGGCTCGATACCATCATCCTCCATACGGAAGCTTATCTTCACCCACCTCCTTTGCAGTCGAGTAGGTAGGCGTCTTGCTATTACTTCTAGTATAAAACTCGAGTTGAGGTCACTCATGCAATTCATCGAAACCAATGCATCCTTGTAAATCAGCAAATTATCCAAAAACTCAGTGAGTGCCTGGGAGTCATCCTGTAATTGACCACCATTACCCTTAACAGCCTCGAATAATTTCTCTACAATCATGGAGGGTCTTCCAATCCTTTGACGTAGTATGCTCATAGCCTCGTAGTAGCCCTCTTTTGGCTTCAAAAACTTACAGCACTGTATAGCTCTTGCAGCAACTCCAGTGCAATACCTCATCAAATACGTTAACTTCATTTCATCATTTAATAAAAAACCACTTAGCATGATCTCAAACTCCTTTAGAAATTGTAAATAATCAGTCGGGTTTCCATCAAAATACCGTGGTTCAAATTTAGGGAGTTTGATGTTACTATTATCCCTGAACGGCGAAACAGTAACATCAATCATGTCATGTTTAACATCAGACACATCGTTACAATTAATAGACAAGTCACCATAACTTACTTTCATGTTTGCATTCAAGACGCTCTGTCCCTTCTTTGATCCAGGCATTGTTGAACTTGACCCAATTTCAAAAGAGTTCCAGATATTGCTTGCTCAAAGAGGACTTGACCGGCACCAGGAAAGATGAACGGTGACTATCCAAACTGTCACCGACTGTCTGAATCCGCCAGAAACTGTTTCCACTGTCAGAAACTGTCAGCCACGTCTCGTAAACCGTCAATGCTCAGCTCTTGCTACGCTGGGACTCACCCTGTTCCTTGAAGTTTCTCAGAAACGCTTAGTAATAACGGACGCAAAAACCAAAACACCGGTTGGCGACTCGAGAAATCTTTATTGTAACACCAACATTAATTTTGAACTACGGTCTATGAAAAAATACTTCAATAATAAATAACAATATTGCTTCTGACAGTTTTGGCCTGAATTCTTTCTGAACAGCGACCGATGAGTCGATGACTGGTGTATCGCTGTCTCCGCGAAAATATAGGGATTTTGGTTTTGAGCAAACAACCATGAATTGATCGTTCAATCTTCAGCTACATTGACAGGTATATTTATTCCATTTTTTCAGCGGTCTTATCGTAGTTTTATAACAGGAAAGAAATTTGATCGTGAATACGTAAACTAGACAAGGTCATGTTAAGTTGTTTTACTGCATGAAATGGTGCCGTGGTCGATTCCAGAATTCTCCATTTGCTCCATTTTTGTCTGCATGGCGGAGTGTATTCGTAAGTTGAGTAAAATGGTGAAAAGTGTTTGAAAACCAGTTGCTTCTTCATTTCTGATCGTGAATACTTATTTACAGCATGTTCGCCAGCGTCTTCAAATGGTAGAATTTGATCGTTCATGGAATTTGAGTGGTTATGAGAAAGACGGTTTGGAATTAATCCTCATTTCAGTTTAGATGCAGGGTTGTTCGACCTCGACCAGAAGATGAATAGGAGCAGCAGAATACCAGAAAGAGAAAGTATGTGAACATGAAAAGGACATTAATATTTCATGCATATATAAATGTTTATGTCAATTGCATATTATACTTTAGTAAATACTTGTCTATAATGTAGTTGTGTTTTCACGCATATATGCGAAGTCTTGGAGTTTATTTAGCGTCATAATGTGTATTAATGAGTCTGGGCGTTTTAGTGTTCTAATGACTGATGCGTCTTAGAAATAAGTGATGGGTTCTTGTAGGGATAGTCATTGGGATAAAAGTTCATATACCAAGCGTTTGAGGGTTACGGTAGAGTGACAGGTCCTATTTCTAAGGGCAAACTATCCCTGTATGTTCCGTACTAAGTCCTTGTGCATCCATGCTGCTAGTTTATTTATAGTTTTTAGATTGCTAAGGGTGTTGAAGTGCGTCTTTTAGGTGCTGTAGTAGGTTAGTAGTTGATTCGTTCTAGGAGTAAATAGTTTATCAATATAATCAGTAGAGTGAAACAGTCTGTATAGGGAGCGTTTGAAGCTTGTAACCGAAGAGAAAGTTCTGACATCTAGGGGTAGGCTATTCCATATTTTAGAATACATGACTGTGAAGAAGTTTTCACGGAGTGTTGACCTAAAAGAATGAGTTGTCACTGTGCAAGTTTGGTTACGCAGATCGTAAGAACCTTCCTGTGCGAATTGTATGTCCCTGTTCCCTGAGAAAGATATTTTGTGAAGGACCTTAAAGAAGAATATTAGGTTTATAATAAGTCGCCTTGTCCAAAGTGGGTCAAGTTTTAGGATCATGCACCGTGAGATGTAGTCTTTCTTACAGTCATAGCCAAGTAGTTTTGAGGTAAAATATCGTTGGATGCTTTCCATCCTTAGCTTATCACGTGTGCGAGTGCTGCTTATAATAAATGGACAGTATTCTAGTAGTGGTCTGACACATGTTTTGTACAGAATCAGCTTGGCTTCATTGTCGTCAAAGTTCCTGAGTATGCATCCTAAGAGCATCCTCGATTTTCTAGTCTGTGATGCTACTTGCTCAGAGAATGTCAAGACACTAGAGTACATAAGGCCTAGGTCAACGACACTTCGGAGTCTGGTTAAGTTAGCAGATTGAGGCGTTAATTTCAGGTCAATTGAGGGTGCGCCGAAGCAGATCCAGCCACATTTGTTCAGATTAAATTGTAGGTTCCATGAGGACGACTAAGCAGTCATTTTATCTAATTCCTTCTGCACTACATTCTCGAAGTACCCCAATTCATCACATTGGAATGTATAAGCTACTTTTAGGTCAACTGCAAAGTGTGCACTGGCTTATCATCATTAGCTTACAAGAGATTCAGCAAGCTACCATGTCAGTGGATGTGCGAATTTTGCATTCAGTCTGGAGATGTCCTTAATCAAGAGACAACTGCAATTCATACATCCAGAATGTTACCATAGAAAGCATACGAGGAGAGTAAGTTTGTATTTAAAGCTGTCATTGGGAACACAATAAGTGATGCTGAACTGGACCCTAAAATAATAACCATATATGAAAGTGTTCACTAGCACAAACACACATGCTCGTAAATACTGTACCATGTAGGAAAAAATAAATCAAAATTTTGTTCTAGCGTCACTTACATTCCAAAAATATAATTGATAATCTGCATGCAAACATTTACTTCACTGTTCAAGACAATACATTCGCACAAATCTCCATCAATTCGTCGAAGTTCAGATTTCTTTCCCCAAAAGCTGCGTCGGTGGCACAGTGGTTAGGACTCTCGCCGTCCATGCACATGGTCCGGGGTTCGAGCCCTCGCCGACGCACACCTGATAACTATGGTCGGCCTGCGAAATTTGGGCTACCGATATCCACGCTGAAAATTCCATACTTGTACCAAAAATACAGTGTGGAATCAAGCTGTAATCAAAAATAAAAAAAAAATTCATTACCAGCAGGAGTATTGCTCTGGGGTCCTTTAGTAAGAAGTGCATGGGTGATTTGACCAATATATTTGAGACCAATAGCTTGGAAATCACTCTGAAATTCGTGTAAATGCCCATAACTTACTTTACCCTGAAGTGGAATGCTAACTGGGCAAACAAGCGACACTCTATCCTTTAAAGCTTCAGAAAGAAGTTTACACAAATATTCAAGTACATCTCCATGAGAAGGATTTTCAGTATCTGAGTTTCCTTTACTTAACTTGCCAGCTATTTTCGACTGAATGTAGGTTGGATTTTTTATTCTGCAAAACACATTAATAATTATAAAAATCATACATCACCAAATGGTCATAAAAACAAACTGAGTCCATGTGCATGTGAGCCTAAAGGTAGCGCATTTAATCAAGAGCTTGACGTTATTGCCAATATCCAATCCCAAGGTCAACACCAACCACACAAATATAGAGTTCACAGTTTTCACTCCCTATAGTTCTTTTCTTAAATCTTCAAGTGTCCTGAGTTGAAGTCTTTATGATGTATTTATTTCCTCTTGATATTTTTGAGAAGGTTCCTAAGTCTCACCAGCTCATTGAGTACTAGTATATGACTCCAATCTGTATGTTATCCTCCCATTGCGTCTTCACCTTTTTCTTATGTTCCGGGCTCTGTGCAACAAAATAACGATAGTGTTGTGTTGGAAACTCATAAATATAAAGTTGCTAAACTCAATTATTAGGTACGTGAAGTACGTGAACAAAAACCAAAAGTGCTTGACAGCGCGAAGTATATTGAAACCAATATTAAGGTATTCGGTGTTAAATATTCTCTGAGGACACATAAGATCAGTTTCTGTATAAGTCTAATATAGGCACATAAACCGTCTTCGGAAACGCCTTGTTAGGGCTAATAGAGGGGTATGATAATGAGACTCTAGATTCATTAGTGTTATTGTTTCCCCAGGTTCTCAGCGAGATTCAACAGCACATCGGTACTTCACCATGCTCTCTGCAGCTCCCTGTAGCCAGCTGTAAGACTGATCATAGCCTGTCGTCTAACTCTCGCACGATCTTCTTCACGTCAACCTCGGATACCCAACTAGCCATTTCCTATTCATGTTCCATTCGAGCAGTGGCCTAGAGGGTGACGTCATCAAACAGCGTTGTGAGTGTATCCGATCCACCTCCATTTCCTTCCTCATATTTGCTGAGATATAGTTTCTTAGTCGGTTCCCAGAGTTTCTTGCTGCCAATTCTTCCTGTCTGACCATGCCATATTCAATATGGAGCCAGTGAGGGTAGCTGTCAATGTTGCGGAACACTAACGCGCTTTTCTGTTTGAACTGGTCTATATCTGGTGGGAGACAAGAAGGCTATCACTGCTTAACCATGTTCTCGTTGTCAGAAGTTCTGAGATATACAACCAGAGGCTTTATTGCACATTATTTTGACGTTTATTTACAGACTTTGGCACTGGTTAACCATTGTAAATCTCTTTTTCTGTTGGTTGAAGAATAAACAATTGTGGTGTCCAAAAGCTTTCTGTTGCTCTGTGTCGGTTACAGTGCATAGTGTTCTGAGTATTAGGCTTGGTTTTCTGAAACCAGCTACAGGTGCAGGATGTTTGTGATCTGTATATTTGGCAGAAGCTGTTGGCAAACGTCTACATTCGCTGATGTAAATGCCTTCCGCGTCGCTCAGCATAAGTTTCTTACCCATACAGAAGAAGTGGTCAACCTAAATTAGTGTTGAAAATCCCAGTTCTGTTGTTTATGCTGGATGCACCGAATTTCTGAGTTTATTTCAGAGTGAAGAAGTTCTGTCCCATCATTTTTCGTATAGCTGTTGAATGAGGATGGTGAAGTTATACAGGTACCCCATAGTGTCGGAGTAGTTTCAACCTCGTAGTCGACCTTGTCGAAGGCCGTGTCATATTCTATGGAAATGAGGCAGAGGTTTGACTGTCATTCTACGCTCTGAGAAATAATGGACGTTCACTTTCACTTTGATCCGCACATTATATGCCTTCCTGAATCCAACCTTTTCCGGTCAGAATTATGCATCTAGTTCATCATTTGTTCACTGTAGGATGACACGAATGGTATTTCACTTGTTTTAGATAAGAATACAATTCCGTGCCATTTCCCCCAGAGGCCTAATTTGTCCTGCCTTGGTCGCTTGACAACAAAGCCTTCCTGCCGTTCAGTAGGTACTGTAGAGCCTCTATAACAACTTATTCTATGCCTACTTAGAAGTAATAAGTAATCGAGGAACACAAAACGATAGAGCGAGTAGCCAAGTAAATAAATAAATAGATTTATTCTCATAGTACAGTACATGAGGGACGCCAGTTTACAGGCATCATCAAATTGTTACAGAAATAGAACCATATTATGCAGTGACAATTTACAGCCGATAGCAAAATATGTTTAACATGTACACTGGAGATTATACATACACTTGATAAATGTTAATCCCAATAGTATAAAACAACCTTTTCATTTATGTACAATCATTTCTCTGCACAGTTGGAAAAATCTGCTAAATTGTCAGTGAGCGCAACACATCAGGAAATACAGAAGTATTGTCTTCACATTAACAAAAAAAACCAGGTCCTTGGTGGATGGGTTATAAGTGCCTGGGAAAAAAATAAAGCTTGAAGTCAATTTTGATACATAACTTTGTTGTGTGCAGAGTCCTTGAATTATAGTTCATTGATGTGTTATTTTGAAATCAGTGATATGTTTATCTCATTTGATCTGCAATGTCATTGTTGGGAGTAAAATACATAAGCTTTAGACGCATTAATTAATGGATTTCTACTGCTTATGGGTATTTACTTCTCGTGAGGAAGTTTTCTGAATTTTAGACTTAGACATAGACATTAAAATTAGGGTATAATATGCAACGATCCCAAGGCTTTAAGTGAACTCCCCGGTGAGTGGTTTTGCAATGACACCAGAGTGCACCCGACCCCAAATTTCCAAATCACCTGCAAAAGTAACCACAAATTAGGAGAAATAGATTTTAATATACATAATATGGACTCAGCGATTAAGACATTGAAGTCAAATGGTAGCACTGGAACAGACGACATACCATCTGTAATATACAAAAATGGTAGCACGGAAATGGTAGTCTTGTTACTTAGGATATTTACTCTGTTACTGGAAACTGGAACTTATCCTGAAGTGTGGAAAACCACATACATATTACCTAGGCACAAAGCAGGGGCCGAAACCAGTGCACGCAACTATAGACCCATTAATATAGCACCGGTAATATCACAAATAATGGAGAAAGTGGTTAAAGACCAATGCCCTAATAAAAATCAGAAATATCTCGAGCAATATGCAATTTGAAGGCTCGAGATTTTTCTGATTTTTATGAGGGCTTAGATTTTTATCTTGAAAAAGATAATAATGAACGCCTTGACAGATCATGCTTCTACCTTTAAATATATACCATTCACTCAGCCTATTGTTGAGATGCGACCGCGCGGGATCTGCACAGATTTATGGGGCATCTTATAAATTAACTTGCTATCCATTGTCAGATCTTTAAATACCACTTCACAATATCTTGTCTCACTTATTTTCTAATAACGTCTTTACTTGATCCTCATTATATCCCATTAAACCTAACATTTTATAGCTCTTTATGAATTTGATTCGACTTATTCTATTACTATTCTCTGGAGGGTACGGTTGTGCACCAAGTAGACAAAAAAGGATGAAATAAAGAAAACTGGCTTGAAAATAATTGTATTAAAGCCAAAAGTGGACAACATGATAGTACAAAATATATTGGTTTTATTGTACATTGCAAATGAACGTTGTCGGCCTAAGGATTAATTACTTCCCCATTCTGTTTTCTACATAAATGTGTTTGTTAATGATATATTTCACTCACTTAATCTCTAACACTTTAATGATTCACCTTAGCACTTTAACTTTTCTAAAACAGCTTCCAATCCCTTGTAAACGTTGTACTTACCTCAATATTGGTTGGTTATCAAATGCCTACAACCACGGGATGAAAACGAAACGAAGTCGATTTTCCCGCGAAACCTGGAGGACAACTGTACAATTCAACAACTATACGGCCTGGTTCAGACAATGAGTGTAATTATATATATGTATCAAATATTTAGCTGTTGAAACACTACTAACTTGTAGACAATTTAAGATTTGACATCATAACATACTTGATCGTGCCTGTAAAAATGGCATGCATTTTCATGTAAATTTATGTTTATATGAAAATAAAAAATTATTATTATACCAAATGTCAGACAACTTACTAGGACATGAACTTATCAATCCATCACAACACGGATTCCTCAAAAAGAGATCATGTGTGACCTGTCACATAGACTTTTTCAATGAAGTTACACGAAGCAGGGACAACAGAGAACTAGTAATTGTGCTATATTTCGATATAACAAAAGCCTTCGATAGAGTCCCCCATAATCTGCTAGTCAGCAGGTTATGCTCACTAGGGATATGTGACCCTCTCCTGAGCTGGATAAAATCATTTCTCTGTGGCCGAAGTCAGACAACGAAAGTTGGCTCGATAATCTCAAGGCCTAAACCAGTAAGTAGTGGTGTAATCCAGGGAAGTGTATTAGGCCCACTCCTATTCATAATATATATAAACAGTATCTGTGAATGCTTTAGTGTTGGTAAACCAATACTATATGCAGATGACATAAATGCAAGAACACAGATCTCGGAATAACAGTAAACGCCATACAGCAAGAATTAGAAAAAATGGATAGATGGTGTGACACCTGGCAACTCCAGTTTAATGTCGACAAATGTGGCTGGCTCTGCATAGGTTGCAACAATTTAGAACTTGACCTGACAATTCAAGGCCATGCACTTCTACGACTGGAATCTGTATTGGACCTAGGACTGAAATACTCACATGACTTATCATTTTCTGAACATATCTCCAAACAAGTGTCAAAGTCACGCAGACTTATCGGCTTTCTACTCAGGAACTTTTACAGAAATGAGTCCAGAATTCTGTTGTACAAGGTTTGTGTGCGTCCTTTATTTGATTACTGTTCATTCATGTATAGTAGTATACGCATAGAGGACAAATTGAAAGTCGAGGGAGTGCAGAGGTACTTCACGTCAAAATTACTCGGAACCGAAAATGGTGCGAACTACTCCACTAGATGTGATACCCTAGGATTAGAAACACTATGGCTAAGACGCCTGAGACTAAACTTAACACTTTACTATAAGCTTCTAAACCACTTAGTTTTTACCTCTACTAATGGCATTCGACTTTCAGATGACAGTGTCTACAAACTAAGACACACTAAGGGTACAGTAGCTATTGAACAATGTAAAACAGCTACCAGGCAAAAGTTTTATTTGATTAGGTATGCACAGATATGGAATAAACTACCAATGGAAATGCGTCAAGCAGGTACATTGGCCTCATTCAAAAAAGTGCTTAACGACAAACTACAAGAGTTTGCAAACGACAGTAGTCCTAGTTCCTATCTGAGAGCCTCCGAAATTATAGGTCCATTTAATGTATAAGCTTAAATACTACACCTGTTGTTTTTTGCCTATATTTATAATTTTAGATAAAACATTAACGATTAAGATACTTACCCTCAAACAGACAAGAAGTTTCGTTTGTAAAACTTCTACCCAACACAATAAGTGGAATAAAATGGACATAAACCGACAACATGAAAAAGGTATAACTCACCACAACATCACATGGACAGATGTACGCTCGTCGGGCACCATATATACCTCACCAACTACAACCCATCTCTCCTAAGATAATGTGATGAACTTATATCCATAATGTTGCTGAGCAGTCAATATCCACAACTCCTGTCGGAACAACTAAAATTCAAAAACCTTCCTCACGAGAAGTAAATACCCACAAGCAGTAGAAATCCATTAATTAATGCGTCTAAAGCTTATGTATTTTACTCCCAACAATGACATTGCAGATCAAATGAGATAAACATATCACTGATTTCAAAATAACACATCAATGAACTATAATTCAAGGACTCTGCACACAACAAAGTTATGTATGAAAATTGACTTCAAGCTTTATTTTTTTCCCAGGCACTTATAACCCATCCACCAAAGACCTGGTTTTTTTTGTTAATGCGAAGACAATACTTCTGTATTTCCTGATGTGTTGCACTCACTGACAATCTAGCGGATTTTTCCAACTATGCACAGAAATGATTGTACATAAGTGAAAAGGATGTTTTATACTATTGGGATTAACATTTATCAAGTGTATGTATAATCTCCAGTGTACATGTTAAACATATTTTGCTATCGACTGTAAATTGTGACTGAATAATATGGTTCTATTTCTGTAACAATTTGATGATGCCTGTAAACTGGCGTCCCTCATGTACTGTACTATGAGAATAAATCTATTTATTTATTTACTTGGCTACTCGCTCTATCGTTTTGTGTTCCTCGATTACTTATTACTTCTAAGTAGGCATAGAATAAGTTGTTATAGAGGCTCTACAGTACCTACTGAACGGCAGGAAGGCTTTGTTGTCAAGCGACCAAGGCAGGACAAATTAGGCCTCTGGGGGAAATGGCACGGAATTGTATTCTTATCTAAAACAAGTGAAATACCATTCGTGTCATCCTACAGTGAACAAATGATGAACTAGATGCATAATTCTGACCGGAAAAGGTTGGATTCAGGAAGGCATATAATGTGCGGATCAAAGTGAAAGTGAACGTCCATTATTTCTCAGAGCGTAGAATGACAGTCAAACCTCTGCCTCATTTCCATAGAATATGACACGGCCTTCGACAAGGTCGACTACGAGGTTGAAACTACTCCGACACTATGGGGTACCTGTATAACTTCACCATCCTCATTCAACAGCTATACGAAAAATGATGGGACAGAACTTCTTCACTCTGAAATAAACTCAGAAATTCGGTGCATCCAGCATAAACAACAGAACTGGGATTTTCAACACTAATTTAGGTTGACCACTTCTTCTGTATGGGTAAGAAACTTATGCTGAGCGACGCGGAAGGCATTTACATCAGCGAATGTAGACGTTTGCCAACAGCTTCTGCCAAATATACAGATCACAAACATCCTGCACCTGTAGCTGGTTTCAGAAAACCAAGCCTAATACTCAGAACACTATGCACTGTAACCGACACAGAGCAACAGAAAGCTTTTGGACACCACAATTGTTTATTCTTCAACCAACAGAAAAAGAGATTTACAATGGTTAACCAGTGCCAAAGTCTGTAAATAAACGTCAAAATAATGTGCAATAAAGCCTCTGGTTGTATATCTCAGAACTTCTGACAACGAGAACATGGTTAAGCAGTGATAGCCTTCTTGTCTCCCACCAGATATAGACCAGTTCAAACAGAAAAGCGCGTTAGTGTTCCGCAACATTGACAGCTACCCTCACTGGCTCCATATTGAATATGGCATGGTCAGACAGGAAGAATTGGCAGCAAGAAACTCTGGGAACCGACTAAGAAACTATATCTCAGCAAATATGAGGAAGGAAATGGAGGTGGATCGGATACACTCACAACGCTGTTTGATGACGTCACCCTCTAGGCCACTGCTCGAATGGAACATGAATAGGAAATGGCTAGTTGGGTATCCGAGGTTGACGTGAAGAAGATCGTGCGAGAGTTAGACGACAGGCTATGATCAGTCTTACAGCTGGCTACAGGGAGCTGCAGAGAGCATGGTGAAGTACCGATGTGCTGTTGAATCTCGCTGAGAACCTGGGGAAACAATAACACTAATGAATCTAGAGTCTCATTATCATACCCCTCTATTAGCCCTAACAAGGCGTTTCCGAAGACGGTTTATGTGCCTATATTAGACTTATACAGAAACTGATCTTATGTGTCCTCAGAGAATATTTAACACCGAATACCTTAATATTGGTTTCAATATACTTCGCGCTGTCAAGCACTTTTGGTTTTTGTTCACGTACTTCACGTACCTAATAATTGAGTTTAGCAACTTTATATTTATGAGTTTCCAACACAACACTATCGTTATTTTGTTGCACAGAGCCCGGAACATAAGAAAAAGGTGAAGACGCAATGGGAGGATAACATACAGATTGGAGTCATATACTAGTACTCAATGAGCTGGTGAGACTTAGGAACCTTCTCAAAAATATCAAGAGGAAATAAATACATCATAAAGACTTCAACTCAGGACACTTGAAGATTTAAGAAAAGAACTATAGGGAGTGAAAACTGTGAACTCTATATTTGTGTGGTTGGTGTTGACCTTGGGATTGGATATTGGCAATAACGTCAAGCTCTTGATTAAATGCGCTACCTTTAGGCTCACATGCACATGGACTCAGTTTGTTTTTATGACCATTTGGTGATGTATGATTTTTATAATTATTAATGTGTTTTGCAGAATAAAAAATCCAACCTACATTCAGTCGAAAATAGCTGGCAAGTTAAGTAAAGGAAACTCAGATACTGAAAATCCTTCTCATGGAGATGTACTTGAATATTTGTGTAAACTTCTTTCTGAAGCTTTAAAGGATAGAGTGTCGCTTGTTTGCCCAGTTAGCATTCCACTTCAGGGTAAAGTAAGTTATGGGCATTTACACGAATTTCAGAGTGATTTCCAAGCTATTGGTCTCAAATATATTGGTCAAATCACCCATGCACTTCTTACTAAAGGACCCCAGAGCAATACTCCTGCTGGTAATGAATTTCGTAGCTTTTGGGGAAAGAAATCTGAACTTCGACGAATTGATGGAGATTTGTGCGAATGTATTGTCTGGAACAGTGAAGTAAATGTTTGCATGCAGATTATCAATTATATTTTTGGAATGTAAGTGACGCTAGAACAAAATTTTGATTTATTTTTTCCTACATGGTACAGTATTTACGAGCATGTGTGTTTGTGCTAGTGAACACTTTCATATATGGTTATTATTTTAGGGTCCAGTTCAGCATCACTTATTGTGTTCCCAATGACAGCTTTAAATACAAACTTACTCTCCTCGTATGCTTTCTATGGTAACATTCTGGATGTATGAATTGCAGTTGTCTCTTGATTAAGGACATCTCCAGACTGAATGCAAAATTCGCACATCCACTGACATGGTAGCTTGCTGAATCTCTTGTAAGCTAATGATGATAAGCCAGTGCACACTTTATGGAGCCACTGATTGCAGCTATCACATTTGATCAGACCATCCACCTTTAAGTAGCTTTTAGAAAATAATAAAGTATCTAGAAGTTATTACTCCGCCTCCCATGAACGTAATAACATGGAGTATGACCAAAAATCCTTAAACGTTTGTAAAGTAGCTTCTAATTGGTTTACACTCAGATTTAGTAGGAGGTATTGGACTTGTTGAAATTCACTGGTGTGAGTACCCTTCAATAGTTTCAGTGAATGAATTGCTTTTGAAATATAAATTTGTGAATAATACTTTATTACTCTACCGCACATCAATTATCGTTGTAGAGTTTCTATGGATTAATTAAAATTTACCTTTATTGTTTGCGTATAGTACTGAGTTCTTGGCGTAATTTTCTGAAAAATATTTACTCCGTTTACAGAATCATCAAATAAGATATTCAACAGTATATTATATGTCGCGACAGTTCTATGTAAAACAAGACTCAGTCCTTTTCCTACAATATTTCTGGCGTAGACGTGATATCCAGCCGGTGAAACCTGACTTCTCTCAGCTGAGTATGTGTGGCGCCTTGGCGTACTCGATAATCGCTCTCTTCTTAGAATTTCGTGAGTTCGATGGCATCATCGTGTGTGTAATTCCAAGTCCTGGTAGTGTGTTTGAGCATGGTTGAGATCATCGTCATCATCTAGAAACACTGACTTCGGTGGCATGGATGCGTGCTGCCAATGTTATTCCACAGGCTCTCACCAGTCAGCAAGGCGTATCTGCAACTTTAGAGGGACTGATGTCCCTATGCAGGCTGGCTAATAATTTTCAAGTGTCTGTTTGTAGAGATTTGTTTCGTTTCAAGTTTCATCATGGGCTGATTGATATCAGTTAGAGAACCACTGGAAACCAGCAGAGAGAAAGAGTACTAGATAACTGTTTCATCCTAGTTTGGGACTCATCGGCACTGCGAACCCCCCTGAGCTTCCATCCCAGGACCTTCCAGTTACAAGGCAAGTTTGCAGACCATTCAGTCACAGGGATCCGACTCACTGTCCAACCCATGAATTCTAAATTCTACCAATTCGTGATGTATTTAGAGCGACCACCAGCCTGGACGAATTTGCCTGGATTCTCAATGAGAAGTCGTGACCAATAGAGTCCACCTAGTGGGGACTGAAGACATAGTACTCTGGTGATGATATTGTCTGGTGGTCACGATGAATATATATCACGAATCGGTTATTATTGTTACCTTTAATTTCTAGAGGAACATAGGGCTTCAGCCAAACGTCTCCATTGCGTTCGGTTCTCTGCTAACGTTTTCACCTGGCTCCCAGTCTGCCCACATGCTTTCATCTCCTCTTCACATGACCTCCTCCAAGTTACCCTTGGACAACCAACTCGCCGCTTCCCGTCCGGCTTCCACTCGAGGGTTTGTCTAATGATGTCACTTGATGGTTTGTTTTCTCAGAGTATGGCCAATCCAATCCACCTCCATTTCTTCCTGCTTATTTGTTGTACAATTGCTTCCTGCTGGGTTGGTCCATTCATTGCCAGAGATCCCTGTCGCTGACATTTCTGCCCGGCCATCTGATCTTGAATAGTATTGAGCGAAGACAGCTGTTAATGAAGGTGTGAAGTTTGTTCGAAGGGCCGTTCGTTACGCGCCAAGCCTCTGATCCATACAGTAGCACTGACTGAATTTACATTGGAGTTGAATATCCGGATCTTATTTTTCACGATGACTACTATTGACCTCCACACAGACTTGAGAGTAATGAAACCTTACTTGCCTTGCTTTCCCGATCCTCACTGCTTTGATATCCTCATCAGTTCCACATGTAGTTGAAACGATGCTTCCCAGGTAGGTAGGTGGTAAGGGAGGGTGCTCCTTTCAGACTTCTCCCATTTACGCTGGCTGATTGTTGTCCGTTGTTGTTGCTGTTGTCTAGGTATCTTCATTACCTCTGTTTTTTCTATGTTCACCTGAATTCCTATCTTCTCTGGATGGTTCTTCTATCGCCGACTTGTTGCTTTTCACTTGTATGTCTTCCAGTTTGTGAGAAATCAGACATATATGTCATCGGCGAAGTCCAAGTTTTTTGTGTGGGTCCATTTTATGCCTGTCTCCTCGTTGCTCACGGACTCTTTCGCATTATCCAGTCTACCGCAATCAGGAAAATCATTGGAGATAGTAGGCAGCTAGCCAGCCTTGTCTTACTCCCGTCTTTACTGCGAAGGATTCCATAAGTCTATATATTGATTTGCATGTGTGTGTGGTCACACTGTTTTTTTTCAACTACTTGTAATGAATGCTTGGTCTGTACTGAATTTTATATTTTAGGCAATTTAATGTCTCATCAGATAGGAGTAGATCAAATTTTTGGTATCATATTGTTCCTAACCGTTTGGATCCATTCATCACTATGCATAGATTGAGTACAAAGTATTCTCTAGTGACAGCCTCCTCTCTTCGTCTAATCAGAGCAATGGATAGACTACGCATATTACTACGTGGATTAAACGAGAAACTTCCTTTAAATATTACCGGAATTCTACCATTGTCTTCAGCTTTTCGTGATACTGCTGTTTTTCCGCCTATTGTATCAGTTCCTGTAGCTGATCAATCCGTTTATGGTGGAAGAAGAAAGGATGCAAGGGAAAGGAAGTATTGTACAGCAAAATGGATTGTTAAAAATGTACATTTTCCTGTTCTTCCTCTTTATGGTAAGTGTAATAAGTCTTGTCAGTGCATTTATCTATATATTTGTAGCCGATAACATTCGTCAGTATTACCATTATTATTATTCCCTTGGGTTCCAAGTGGAACATAGGGCTTCACCAACACATCTCCACTGACTTTGTTCCATTTTCTGCTGCTGTCCCCCAACATCTGAGTTCGCGATTGGCCATAACCTCTCATCTCCTCCTCGCCACACTATATCCTCCATTTTACCCTCTGAGTGATGACTCCCTCATCACTTCCCATTTGGAATCCACTCGATCGACGGCCTATATTGAACGTGATGTCATTCGACAGCCTCCTCAGTGGCGTGTGCCCAATCCATCATCTCCATTTTCTCCTGCATATTTATTGATAGATCTGTTCCTGCCTGTTGGTTTGTTGCCGGCCAGAGTTTCTTGTCGCTAATTCTTTCTGGCTGGCCGACTGACCATTTGATCTTTAATATGAAGTCAGCGAAGGCGGCAGCTGTTGATAAATGTCTGTAACTTGCTGGAAATCCGTTATGTGACGCTCATATCAATTTTCTGGCCCGTATAGAAAAACTAATTGACTGACTTCACATTTGTGCTGAACAGAACCCGAATCTTGTTTTTTATGCTGGCTGAGTGAGTGAGTGCAGAAGATTTCGAAACTGGTTTCAGGTTGATAAAAATTTATCTTGCCCTTCCGATTCTGGTTGGTTTTCACGTCTTCATCCTTGCCGTGTGTCTGCGGTTGAAACAATGCTTCTTGGCCAGATAAGTAGGGGAAATAACCTCTTTGAAATCCCTTCCTTTGATGGTGATTGCTGCTGGGTTGTTGTTATTGTTGCTGTTGGCGCGTAGTTGGTTGGTTATCTTCATCACCTCCGTCTTCTCTATGTTCACATAGAGTCGTGTCTTCGTTGTCAGCCAGTTTGTTGGTTTTCGCCTGTAAGTCTTCGAGTTTTTGTGACATTAGACATACATGATCTGCGAAATCCAGACCTTCTGAAGTCTTCTTATCGGTGGTCCTTAGTATTCCTGTCTCCTCGCTCCCACAACACATTCTGACGCATAATCCAGTCCACTACAAATAAAAAATGTCATTGGTTAGTGGTCATTCTATATCGGGAATTGGCAGACGTTGAAATTCAAGGACCATTGAATCGGGTCCTCGTGGCTTAGTGATATATGGGCAAAAGCTATCCTTCTAACCAGAAGGTTCTCGGTTGGAACTCCAGTGGGTGCGTACCAATGAAGAGTCCCAAATTAGAACAGAACGTCTCTACAGTACTCCCAGTTGGTTTTCCAATGGTTCTCTAACCGACTGATGTCAGCTCATGATGAAATCCTGTAACCAATCAATCAAATTTTGATAAATCACAGTGTTGTACAGTAATAGTTACTGATGACCACGTTTTGAGCACAATTTATTGCCACTCATAATCATATCAGGTCACTACTCACACAACTTTCTTGCTTCATTTATATACATGAGTGAAATAGATTAGACATTTGAATAAAAATCAATGTAGGATAATGTGCACATTCAGAAATAATAATATGAGTGTTATTGATCAATTACAATCCGATGAGAAATAAGACGAGTGTTTTTATAGTCACAATAAGTAACTTGTTAGAATGTCATAATGTACGTGAATTGAAACAGAATTTTAAGATTATTTATTATCCTCCTCTGATTTGACTGACTGACTGACCGGTGGTAATAATATCTTCCATGCATATCTCTGGTATTTGCATTGAGTCACTTTTGTTGCATGTGTTGTGTTGGGTGTAGACTCAATTAACCAGACAGCACTCAGTAATCAATCTCTCTCTATCTCCACCTACCTATATTACTTTTTAGAATTTCGACTCTGTCCCACCCACCCTATTGTGTGGCTGTGTGTTAATGCATGCAGTGCAGGTAGTTGGAGAAAGAGAGAGGGTTGATCACGAATGGACTTCAGTTAGAGAACTATTGAAAAGCCCACAAGGACGATGTAAGGCATACACTTGATGCAACTTTACAACTGGATAATTACCCTGGCTCCATACGTCTGTCCAGATGCTTTCGTCTCTTCCTCATCACCACTAGTCATTTCAGCTCATTAAGCAAGTTTTCAATTTTATAAACTACAACCTTCTTGACTTGCTATGTGAACATACAAGCTTAAAATGTTTATTAGATTTGTCAGCCTTCTAATATATGTGTAAAACTTGGGCACTGTGGTAGTAAGTAATTCTATACTGGTTTGTTTATTAGATGTATCACACAGTGAAGAAACGGTATTATTCACTGGATGACAATGTTTCGAACAAAATTTATTGTTCGTAATCATATCAACTGTAATCACACGACTTTGAAACTTGAGTTTTACAGTTTTCTTTGTCCTCTCCTATTTGTCGTCGTTGGGGTAGTAGGATTTTCCAGATATCTGGGTGGACAGGTGTTGAATCATTCTTATTACACTAAGTAGTACCCAAGAAAATTTAACACAGAAAGTGAGGCATATAAAAGGAGCTTTGAGACTTAATAATTACCCTGACAAATCAATCAGAAAGTACGTAGGGAAATGTCTGTCTGGATTCAACATAGAACTTGGCACCGAAGTGCAGCAGTTCGAGTTGCCACGTTCCAAATAGCACACAGAGGTAGACAAGAAGATGAGTGGAGAGAATTAATAGAGTTTGACAAATATAGGAGTGAAACAGAATGGGTAATGGTAGAAAGGAATATGAAAGATTACAGAGATTGAATACATCTGCGCCATTGACAACGATTTTGAGCCATGTCACCTATTGTCTCCAGCCATTGATTCCTAGAGTCCCGAGGGCCCCAACCCGGGAGTCTGCATCTCCCTACCTGACTCAGTTTAACTGTCAAGGATTTCATGGATTGATGCCATGTTTTTGTTTGGCCACCACTGGCTCTTTTCCAACCTGAACCTATATCAGCTAACAATGCCCGTCGGGGGAGGCGGTGGTTAGGCATGGGCACCACGTGACCTAGCCATCTTAGTCTAGCGGATGCCCGGCGCTCTCCACCGGGTTGACTGTCCATTGGATGACAGTCTAGGGGAGATGGCTAAACCCTGATTCCAAACCTTCAACGACTGGCGTAAGAAGCTCACCGGGGCTCACCGGCAGACGTATGGACAAAGAGCTTATTGGATGCCCTGGATGTCTGGCCCCATTCAAAAAGGCGTATGAACCGAACTCCGGTCACCGGCTGCCAATGGATAGTGGACTCCTTACTCCACTCCTACTGCCTTGTAGGTCACACTTGGCTGTGTAAAGGCTAGAGCTGCACTCTCAAACAAAAGGCCGAGCGATGCTGGGGACATCACTCGTACCAAATTCCCATGAAACTTCATGAACTCTCTTACAAATTGCCGCGCCTGGGCAGCGATGATTCGAGACGTTCATGAAGCCGGCTCATCCTCCCGTAGGAGATAGCCGAAGTAAAGTAAAGTAAGTAAGTATGTAACTTTATAACCTCGTCGATTGATTTTCCCTCTTTGCCCAACACTCTACGCCTAACGTCAACATTACTTACCTTGTTAAACCACCTAACGTGAGACAGAGATCGCAGACATCTATGATCGAAAGCAGTCAACCTTTTCATGTCTTCAACGCGTATTGGCCATGTTTCAGAGCCATAGAGAAGGACGGAGCGAACTGATGAGCAGTACACACGTCCCTTGGTTGATAACCGGATGTCACGCCTACGCCAGAGATGGTGTAAGTCAGCGAAAGCAGCTCGAGCTTTTCGGATCCGTGCTGAGATTTCATCGCCAATCAGTCCATTGGTGCTAATACAACTTCCCAAGTAGGTGAAGTGGTCAACATGTTCTATCACTTCACTCCCTATCACTAAGTTAGGGGTTGACGTGGTCCAGTCCTGTAGCAGCATCTTACATTTTGCAGGGGCGAATCGCATGCCAAACATACGAAGATTGCTGCTCAAGGTGTTCAGAAGACTCTGCTGGATTTTGTCAGCATCCTCCCCTAACAGGACTATGTCATCTGCATATTCTAAGTCCATTAGATTATTCCCTGGTAACAAGTCGATTCCTAAGTCACTACGTTCAGTTAAGGGAAATGTAAAAATATAATATAAATAATAATAGTAGTGACAGTGATACTACTAATAATATTAATGATGACATGCCTGTCAAACATGCACAGGGTAATGACAACACCAACAATAAGGAATCTAAATCATCAGTAGTAATTCCATACAAGGAAGGAACCTCGGAAACCACCTTACGGGGAATTCTTAACTAGGCAGGAATAAAAGTGGTTGGCATTCAAACCAACCACAAACTCAATTAGATACAAGCTTCGTTGGTTAAAGGATCAATCCTGTGGAGCCTTTAAAACAAAACAATTTAGTTTATCTAATACCCTGCCTGAGATGATTGTCAGGTCAAACTAGTAGAACAGGGGCAGTCAGACTAGCTGAACATAAAAACCTAGCTAAATCTAGATTGGTTGAACCGAATAAGATAAGAAATCTAGAGAACAGTTCAGCTATAGCACTCACTACATGCAATTACATACGACCATACAATAGGATGAATGGGATAGGATGACAGTTTTAAAATCTAATGTCACAGGGTGGAGGGAGAGATTGATAATGGAAGCTTTGTTTATTGAATCAACTGCAGACATGTGTAATAGGAATGATTCAACACCTGTCCACCGAGATATCTGGAAAATTCTACTACCTCCACGACGGCACATAGGAGAGAACAAAGAAAACTACAAAACTCAAGTTTCGAAGTCTTGTGATTATATAATTGGTGGATGGTGACTAGCAGTGGAATCCTGTCAGGATGCACATTTCATCCTATTTGGGACTCGTCAACTGGATGTACCTGCATTTCTCTGTGAGTGATGATGTTCCCACCGAGGCTCGAACCCAGTACCCATAGTTTCAAACGCCAAAGCGTTATCGACTAGACCACTTGGGTCACGAGAGCCACCTCTTGTGCAACGGTCATATTGGCCCAAGTAGTCCTGAGACCGAGCACTTCGGTCCAATAAATCGACAGGAAAATCTCAAATTCAATAAAATCTTGTGATTATAATTGATTGGTATGTTTATGAACAATAATGAATTTTGTTCGAAACCTTGTCATCCAGTAAATAATACTGTTTCATCACTTTGTGATACATCTAATGAACAAACTAATATGGAAACAGCAAGGAGTACTGATAGACAGCTGTTTCGTCCTTGTTTGAGACTTATCAGCAGTACGCACCCATGACCCCACCGCCAAAGATGATTGAACCCAGGACCTTCAGGTTATAAGTGAAGCTCGTTGACCTTTGAGACACTGGAACAAAGTATAATGGCGCATCCACTCTAACTTTTAGTAAACCCGGCTAGTCATCACTTCTCATTAGAACGCCGAGCAACTTCATTCTGCAGTCGGTTACACAGGGGATTTGACTTCAGTCAACTTTTAAATGTGTTTATCATAATTTCTTTTCTTTTGTCTTTTCTTTTAAAAAAGTTGTTATTCATTTGGAACAATCTGGAAGATGGCCAAATGACCTAGAGGCATTTAGACATATGAAACGATTATTAATTATACGTATACATGAATTACTCTCACCCAAGGGGATTCCATCACATGTCACGTTGGATAGTATGCTGGATATATTTCTTGTAAGTAAATTATAAATAAATTTAATATGTCGATTGTGTTTCATTCATGAATAAATACATAAATTACTAAGCTCAAAGAGAGACAGAGAGAGGGTGGACTCAACTCTCACACTTATTATGCGAGGGCATAGGGTACTACCCAGTTGCTTGGGCTGAAGTAAGCGGGGGTGGGTTTTGAACTTATGGTCCAACCTAATGAACTATATATTAGATAGTTTGAAGCGATCGGCCACAGGAAGCCTTGCTTCACCTAGGTTTTGTGCTAGTTGCCACTCAACAGTCAGTCAGCAAGGCGTATCTGCAATCACCTTGAAGGAACTCATGTCCCTCTTTTCTGAGATTCGAACCCATGTCACTCAGTGGCGGTGGCAGTCAGAGACGTTACCACTGAGGAGACGGTCACCGTTGTCGGTTCGCTGGCACGGAACTCCAAAAGTGCCACCGACATCCTTCTCAGATTGACACAATTTCCCTACTTGAGCGTTAAAGTCACCAGCTAGAACGACTATGTCTGAGCGTTTAGCCTTTCTCACCAAACTAGACAGCTTTTGGTAGAACTCATCCTTCGTTTCATCTGAACTGCAGTCAGTGGCGGCGTAGGCGGAGATTACGAAAAGGCATCGGCGAGTAGTGCAGTCCTTTCTCCTTCTTACTGACCCGTTCAGACGGACAGCACACATTCGGCTATCTACCGGGATCCAGTCAAGCAATGTCTTTTCTGCCCTAGTACTCAAAGCTATCCCTACGCCAGCTAATCCTCGTGAACTGACTGTGGCATCTCCTGACACCCTCAAGGTGAATTTTGCAGATTCAACCTGTTGGCCAGGTGGGGTTAGGTGAATAACCACACTTGGGTCTTGTATGCGTGTTTCTGAAACACAGCATACATCAATGGCTCGTGATGCCAGGGTCTTGGCTAGTGATGCTTGTTGTCCTATTTGGCAAAGTGTCCTAACATTAAAAGCTCCTATATGAAATTGGTGGCGCGGCTTTAAGAGGCTGTCGGTGGTGGTTTTTTTGGCTTCCATCGTTTTTAGTGGATGCAGAGCGGAGAGGAAGTGGAGAGCTATCAAGTCGAGGAGTTGCATCAGTGGAAGGAAGGCAAGATGATAGAGATGAAGATGAAAACAAAGATGAGTGAGTAATGGAGAGGTTTCGCGTGCGTTTCGGATTGTGAGGGCGATTGTTACTTCCCGGCTGCCCACACCGTGGAAGTTGGTTGCGTGGCCGCAGAGCCCAGGGGACAACTGCTTGAAGCCGGTCACACGCGGCCTGTTTTTGTTCATTCTCTTTTGTTTGGTGTGTCTCAGTAACATATTTATCACTCCTGCCCTGTGACACGGCAGCAGGAAGCGCGGTCGTTGTTAATCCGGGCCACGGCCGATCCGGCATGAAATTTTGTGATTTTGTATTTATCATGATGTTGGATTGGGTAGCTGCTTTTTGTTTAACCGCTATCCAAACAGCCTGCCTGGCATGGTAGGACCTCAAGAGACATAAGTCTCAGCCAGTATAGCTTGAATAGATCATTCCGGTGTTCAAGCCCGACCACCACGTCAAGGTAGCAGCTTTCGGTCGAGGTTACCATTGAGCTATTCGGGCTGGCTGGCGGTTGGACACACACACTGGGGAGATCCGCCAGGCTGATCCCAGAGTGCTATCCAAATAAGAAACAATGAGTTGGACGTCTGAGGGGGTGACATAAAGGAGGAGGTTGTGTGTGCGGAGCGAATGGAAGCTTATGAGCAGAGTGAAATAGGAATGTCTTACTGAAGGCTTATGTTCTACTCTGAACCCAAGAGAATAACAATCACAATGTAAATGTATTTCCCTCTTCCCTCTTTAAATTATCATGAATTTATTATACTACTTAAATGAAGTGTTGTCTTCTCTTTCTTTTATCTCATTTTCATTATTTAAGGATGGATTAGTGTTTCGTGTTTTAATCGCCCAATCAAAAGAGCTTAATTTAATTCAGAAATCAACAAATTCACAAGTGGTTAGAACTAACAATACTGTTAATACGCATGATGATAATATATCCACTGAAGTAATGTGTACTGATGCGGTGAATTGGATTCGTCTGCATCAAAGTTTGCCAACAGTAGTCGGTACACTAGCTGGTATCTCACGTAGTTATGCACATGTTTTTCCTACTACCTGTCGACTGGCTAAACGTTGGTTATCAGCACATGGTTCTCCAGTGATATTATGTCCATATGAATCTGAACTAGACGGCCTACATAATTCATCAGATTTCTTTCCACAACCTGATGAATGCTCTACAGCAATGTCTGCCTATTGGTATAAAGAAGATATGAGTAAAGATGTTAACGGGAGGCGAATGTCAGAGGTAGCTGTTGAGCTGTTAGTACTCTACGCATGTAAACTATGCGATTCTGTTAGTGTGGAGGCGAATGAAAGCAATAACCTTATTAATACTACTGTAATTGGATCACCGGTCGCGGGATTCTTACGATTTCTTGATTTATTGGCTACACATGATTGGGAAAATGTTCCTATATTGGTTGATTTAAATGAAGGATTTTCAGGTATTTGTGGATTTTTACAGTAATTATATTATACGTTGTTGTTGTAGTTGTTGAATAGATAAGTTACCAGAAGGTCCTGGGTTCGAACCCCCGTGGGTGCGTACTGTGAAGAGTCCCAAACTAGGACGAGACAGCTGGCTGTAACCAATCACTCAAATCCCTACAAACCAATACTTGAATATCAATGAGATGCTTACTAGCCACTGGCCTTATTCAGGTAGGTAATTACCTGGGGTTCTAGTGAGAAGTCGCGACCAGTGGGGTAAAGTAGGTCGGGTGTGAGGACAAATAATAGTCAGCGAAGGCATTGACTAGTGAATTGATAGAAGTTGGAATTCATGGACTGGTCACTGGATCGGCTCCGAGTGGCTTAATGGTCTATGAGCTCACTGGCCTTGTATTAAGAAGGTTCTGGGTTCGAACCCCAATGGGGTGGGTGCGTAGTGTTGAGGAGTCCCAAACTAGGACTAGAGAAGCAGCTGTTCGGGACTCCCTGGCTGGTTTTCCAATGGTTCTCTAACCGACGTCAGCTCATGATGAAATCTTAATTTTAATTTTCTTTTAAATTTTTGATTACAGCTTGATTCCACACCGTATTTTTGTTACAAGTATGGAATTCTCAGCATGGATATCGGTAGCCCAAATTTTGCAGACCGACCATAGGTATCAGGTGTGCGTCGTCAGGGGGTCGAACTCCAGACCGTGTGCATGGTCGACGAGAGTCCTAACCATTGTACCAGTTTTTAAGCCCAGAGACCCCCATCTTTGGTTTACACGACTGGAGCATTATTTCACTCCCAATAAGCTCACATCACAGACGGCTTAATTCGGCATTTTGAGTACAGTGTTACCAGACGAAGTCCTATTGTAACCAATCGATCAAATTTTAATAAATCACATATCGTTTTCTAGTAGCTTGTCGACTTAAGCACTCAACTTTTAGTCAACAAATCCCGACTTCTAATCCCGTCCCACCTAATTTAACCTGAGGCCTCACACTATTAATTATAGGTGTGGCACATGGCTTGGTACACAATGGCGAGTTCATCATGATGATGTTATTCCTTCGAATGAAGTTTTTCAGCTTATTTAACAAAAACTTACAAAATTCAATCAAATATAGTCCATTCCGATTGAACACTAGTCACTAGTGTGACGTGTCTAGTCCTCTATTTGGTGCAGACTGAATTCTTACATCAGTCAAGTATGCAGTGTGGCTACTATGCCACTAGGTAGCTCGCCATCACAGTTCACTTTGTATTGTTGGTATTAGATGGTTGGAGGCAATCGGCCACAGGAAGCCTTGTCTGACCTAGGTTTCGTGCCATTTGGCAATCTTGATGGAACTCATGTCCCTCCTTTCTAAAACTCGAACCCACGTTACCCAGTGTTGGCTGCAGTCAGAGACGTTACCACCACAGAGATATTCGGACTGACTCGCGATTGACCTCTTGTAGGACTGTACGGGATTCATTCTTGGATTTTCTGTACAATGAATATATCTCGTTCATTTCTTTTGTGTGTACATGTATCACAATGTACCACCAATGTATATTTCTTGCTTATTCACGTCCCCCCCCCTCCTTGCGGGTTTTGTTTTCAGATATCAATAAACGACGAACAGCCTTGAATTCATTTCATCATACACCAAGGTGTAATCTACCTGCTCTAGTCATCTATACTCCATTAGATTTAACTGGAACAGAATGGACTGATATTGGACCAAGTCGATCAGGTTTAAGTGAATTGAAAGTGATAGCTGGTCAATCACGTGATCTTTTAAGAGCTATGCTTGTCAGTGGAGCTACAATAAATGATCTGATGGTAAGTAGTGTTGTTGTTTTGAAGGCGTATAGTTATCTTTTCTCTTTTTTTACGTATATATGTATATGTCTTAGTGTCGATTTGATGTGTTAGATGGTTGGAGTTAGTCGACAAGAAGCCGTTTAATCTAATTTTCGTACTTTTTGCTACTCATCAGTCAGCAAGGTGTGTCTGCAACCACCGAAGGAACTCATGGCCTCTCTCTCTGAGATTAGAACACGTGCCATCTAGTGCTGCTGTCAAAGACGTTACCACTGAGATCTTTTCGGACTTGCGATTGATCTCCAGCAGGACTGTATCGGATGACTGACTGACTGACTGGTTTCAACATAGAACTTTACACCGTTGTGCAGCAATTCCAGTCGCCACACTTCACTCCATGTAACCTTCAAAGAAAGCAAAAAGAAATGCAAAACGGAGACAGTAGACAGGGATATAAGACAAAAGGAATAATAATAACAAAGAACGATATAGTCTCATTGGAAATTATAAGTCACAAGGAGTGGATGCATATACCCCGGTCATTGAGGACGATCATTTTGAGACATATTACCAGTTGTCTCTAGCCTTCATTGGTTCTTATAATCCCGAGGACCCCAACCAAACTAGAAGTCTACACCTTCCTATGTGGCTAGTTGGCTTAAACTAACTGTTGTGGGCTTCATTGACTGACGAAGTGATGCTTTGGTTTGACCATCACTAGCAGCTCTATTCCAACCTGATCACTCCTATTAGGCATGCGTAACACATGTCCTAACCATCTCAGTCGATGTAGCTTCACAGCCTCGTCTATCGATTTCCCTTCCTTATCTGATATTCGACAGATGCCTAACCTCAATATTGCTCACCCTATTACACCGACCACCTAGCACAGGAGGCAGAGCACTGGCACGTATGATCACAGACAGCTAGCCATGATTTTCATGTCCTCTACTCTCAATGACCAGGTCTCACAGACGTAAAGGAGGAAGGAGCGGACTGTTGAGCAGTACACACGTCCTTTGGTCAACAACCAGCCAGCCGGATATCACGTCTACTGAGCCAGATACAGTGTAAACTGGCGTATGCGAAGCGAGCCTTCTGTATCCGTGTTGAGATTTCGTCAGCGATCAACCCGTTGGACTGACTGGCTGATGCAACTTCCCAAATAAGTGAAGTGGTCAGCACGCTGCATCAACCATTTCATTCCTGTCTATCTTTAAGCTAGGAGTCAATGTAGTCCAGTCCAGTAGCATCATCTTACATTTGACAGCATGAGCGAATCGCATGACAAACATTCTCAGACTGCAATTCAAGGTGTTCAGATGACTCTACTTAGTGTTGTCAACGTCTTCATCTAGGGAGGAGGACTATATCATCTGCGTATTCCAAGTCAACAGAATTATTCCTTGATGGTAACAAGTCAATCACACCTCTGCTCACTGTCTCTATTATGCCTTTCTTCTACTTTCTTCTCTTGCTTCGCGTGCTACACGGAGTGTGGCGACTTGAACTTCCGCACATTTGTGCAAAGTTCTATGTCGAAAACAGACAGACTATGCAAGATGATGTTTGGAAATCCGATAATGAACATGTCTAATTGTGCGTCTGTCTATTGTAACCGGTTCTATAGGAGCAGTTAAACTGGTAGATAAACACAGGGAAGGCGAAATTAAGATAGATTATCCTTAATTCCAGAACATAAAATTGAAATCTTTGTGAAGGCACAGTTCACCTCTTCTGCATTGAACACTTTTATCATTGCACTCTATTTTGTGTCTTCTAAATGTCTAAATGGAAAGTTTTTATTATATATGCATATATATATATATATATATATATATATATATATATATATATATATGTCGAAAACGCCTTTCTAAAATTTCTCATTACAGGCAATTTTTCGTCCAGTCTTCAAGAAAACCGATATTCTATTAAAGTTAAAGCAAAATGTTACCGAATTACGTCATTTAGAATCTATTAAAGGAGTTCTGAAGGACAAGAATCTTAGTGTTCCTGAGAATCAAAGCTCTAATGAAGTGCCGATGGAGTTACCAGCACCTGGTGCTCGTTATTGGCCACGGTTATTCTGTTATGATCCGTTGAATTGGTTGGTAAAACTGTTACAAGTAAGTTAATTGTTAGTTAAATTATATTTTTAAAAAATCTCTAATGCTATGGGGACATTTTAATGATTGTGATATAATTGGTGGTGATATTTGTAAACAATTTCATACTCTGAAGGAATTGCCCATACACGGTTACACCAATCTGTTTACTGAGATTTGTGATTTGCGATTTGGATAAGAAAAACAATAGATTGAGCTAAGAAATATGCATTCCTTTTCCATTAGTTCCTCATCATCGCCGGTTCTACACTGATATATATATATATATATATATATATATATATATATATATATATATATATATATATAGATTTTACATCAAAATATTTTACCAATCAAGTGACTTGCTACAGGATGGAGTTTCCTGGAGTTCTAGTGAGGTCCATTTAGATGTCACGTGTGTGGATGAATGTCCCACCAACGACAATGGTTGAGGTCGCGCTAAATCACGAATTGATAGAAGTTAGAATTCATGCACTGGCCATTGACTGAGAGAGGGTCCCAGTGGCTGAATGGTATGCGAACCAGCTTGCCTTGTAACCGGAAGGTCCTGGGTTCCAACCGCCTGTGGTTGGTGCGTAGTGCCGATGATTCCCAAACTAGGATGAAACAGCAGCTGTCCAGTACTCCCTGGTTTTCAATGGTTCGCTAACTGATTTCAATCCGTAATCAACTCGTAAAAACAAGTGGTTATATTAGTTAAAAGAAGTTTTTTTAGATTGAGTCGATTTGATGTCCAGTATAGACGACTAGATGAGTTAGTATTGAGGTGCCTATACCTTTGTTCGGACCTTTGCCAAACCAAGATGGAAGATGTTCAGAAATTCAGTGATGAACTTGCCTGATCGTACGCCCTATGGAACCAGCTCCGCAGTCTGTCTTTATTTCTTGAACTAAGCATTGCTTGGCTAGTTAAGGCACAGCATAGCTTAACTATGTTGAAAGTCCTTTTGAAGGCCCTTCATAGACGTTGTGATAAGATCTCACTATTGACATCATCTGTGAATTTTAATCTTAGGAAGACTGATTTTTTGGGAACTGTTGGCAACTTCGACTTTTTGCTGTCTGAGTTCATGTGTGTTTGTTCATGAATTTAGTTGGATATCCGTTTCTACTTTGTAGATCGTGAATATTACCGAGTTCTTCACATTCAGTGTCTCATTTGAATAGATAACTCTAGCTAGCCCGGTGAATCAGAGATCTAACCAAATTACGTTTGTATTGTAGAAGTACGAAGCTCAGGAAGTGGGTATATTGTCCAGTGGAAGTAGGTTTTCCATACAAACGTCTACGTATTGTTACGTCTGTTCGTTTAGTCATTAAGACGTCCATAAAGGGGATAGATTCATTTTCTTGGGTCCTGAGTGGAACATACAGCTTCAACGACACATCTCCACTTTTCCTTATTTCTTTACTATCCTCTTCAGCTGGGTCCACAATCGCCTATAATCTTTCATTTCCACCCTTTTTTTGTTTTCAAGTTACGTTTAGGCAAATACTTTGAGATATTTTGGGATCGTCATGGTGGTAATTGGTTAGCATTGAGATGGCGTCAACACTATTCTCAACGACAACAGCAACAACAACAACAAACACAACAGCAAGAACTACAATTGAGCTCAAACATGTCGACTGAATTAATCCAACCAATAGTCTTCAGTGTAGATTCACTTGACGGGTTAACTCAACATTCAGAATCCTTTAGGCAGTTAACAGATCTAGTACTTGTATATAATGAAGACGCATTGATTAGACTATTAACCAGCTGGCTTGGAGAATTTCTTCGCCCTGTACCAGTTAAAAATAAGAAGAGGAGGAATAATGCTGATAATAAGGATGAAAATGCACCAAAATCTAAACGTATTAAAACAGAAAAACAAAATGAACAAAAAAACATGAAAAAGAAGAAGAAAGAAATCAAAGTAAAACCGCTGAAAAAGAACAAGAATAAAAATAAAAAAGATAAAAATAATAACAGTAAAAATGTGTAAATACATTTATAAATAAATTATATTACTATTATTATTGCTATTATTGTTATCATTACATGTACTTGTGTGTCGGTGACACAGTGGTTAGGACTCTCGCCGACCCCATGTACTTGGGCTGGGGTTCGATCCCTTGCCAACGCACACCTGATATCAATGGTTGGCCTGCATAATTTTCGCTACCGATATCACATGCTGAAAATTCTATACTTGTATCAAAAATACAGTGTGGAATATGGCTATAATCAAAAATATTAAAAAAAATACTCATACATATGCATTGTTGAATATCCAGATCGCTTCTTAATATGGATCCCAACGGCCAGGCTCAGAGATATTTAGTAGTCGAACTCTTAAGGTAAAACTGTGATTCGTAGGTATGAAGTAAATGACTCTGAAAGCCTTGTTGACATCAATCTTGTATTCTGTCTGTATCCACAAGATGAAATAAAATAGCACTATGACTAGATTTTGTTTGTCCTTTACTTAACCACTAGGCAGGGTGGTGTTTTGAAGTCTGATGAGAAAATTCAAGGTACCAACAAATTGCTAAAAAGGCTGTATTCTTTCTTGTTAATTCAGTTCCTCGGGGATAACATCAGCGAGATACTAACATAACGCCTTAGGAATAAGACGGTAAAAAGAGCATTCCCTGGTGTTGCTGAATTACGCTGTGTCTTCAAAATCACCCACCTCTATTTTGCATTCAGGAGTTAAAGATAAACTGCCTAATTTCGCCTCCTTCATGTGTATCTACCAGTTTAACTGTTCCTGTGGAGCCAGTTACATAGGCCATACAATTAGGCGTGTTTCTTGTCGGATTTACAAACACCATCCTGCATAGTGGCTAAGTAAAGGACAAACAAAATCTATTCGTAGCGCTATTCTATCTCACTTATCTTGTGGATACAGACAGAACACAAGATTGATGTTAAAGAGGCAGCTTTCAAAGTCATTTACCGCATATCAACAAATCTTAATTTCGTTTACTAAATATTCCTGAGGCTGGCTGTTGGGATTCATATTAACAAGCCTAATTTGTGCATCCAAAAGAAGTTAGTTCAGATATTATCCTTACCCGCTTGGCCATCTAGGTGTTTGAATGATCCTCAACTTTTTGTGGAATTTTTCTAATTTTAGTTGATATTCTATTTACTACTACATCTTTATTATTATTATTATTACTTTTATTATAACTTAAGCATCTTTAATGAACTGTAATTTCACTGTGATCTTACTTTATCAATCGATATTTTTATTTAAAAAACACTAATACTGTTACTGAGTACTATTCTGGAATATTCTATGTATATAAACATATCTATGTATATGACTGTAGAGCCAGAAGAGGAGGAAATTATCGAAAAGGATATTTTTGAATAAGGCATTAAGAAGACAAATTTAGCGAGATGATATCGTCATTTCGTAGTTTCTTTACAACCGCTTTACAACTAACATGGTTAACAATGATAAAATAAAGTTCATGAAAATTACTCAGTTAAATTTTTCGTAAACAGACGTGGAGTGGACAATATCTTCATTTTACCAGTTTTGTTCCTATCCAGTATAAACGTTCCCTGGTGAAATGTTTGTTCTCAAGGGCTCGAAAAATATGTACGAGTGGCACATTGATGGATGAGCTTCGACATATACATTCAGTTTTACTAGCCAATGGTTATCCAGAAAACTTCATCAATTGTCACGGTAAGGATAGACCACATCTTGAAAAGACAGCTCCTGTACCAAAGAAAGCCATCTTTATTAATCTACCATTCAAGGGCGACCAGATTATGCAGTTGACAGCTCAAAGACTTCGGTCAGCCATCAAACGCACATCATTCTACGCCACCGCATCTCTTTTTCTCACTTGCCGAACATTTTCGATCCCTGTACCTACGATTAAAGGACGAAATTATGTGGACTATACTTCAGACTGTATCTACAAGTTCACCTGCAGCTGCGGTGACACCTATATAGGTAGAACTAACAGAATGTTCGAATGTCGTCGAAAAGAACATGTTCCAAAATGGCTACTAAACCATATCGAAAATCCTAACGCGATTAATCTTAGTAGGAATCCAGCATCATCCTTTACAAAACACTTATTAATGTCTGGTCACAAAATCAATATTAATGACTGTTTCACAATTATTTCACATAACTCTAATTCAAGGTTATTGAAGGTGATGGAAGCACTTTGGATTAATCACATACAGCCTAAACTGTGTTTACAAAAATCAATAGACTTCAATCTTCGCCTACCCTGGACTACATGACCTATCTAAATGTGATTGGTCATTAGTATGTACTTTTTTTTATTTAACTGAGTAATTTTCATGAACTTTATTTTATCATTGTTAACCATGTTAGTTGTAAAGCGGTTGTAAAGAAACTACGAAATGAAGATATCATCTCGCGAAATTTGTCTTCTTAATGCCTTGTTCAAATTTATCAAAGGGACTAATTGTTTTAATGAAACGGATATTCTTTGCTCGCTCAATTATTTTGTTTTTTATAGATGTCTGAATGAATATTTTAGCTAAATTGTTATTCAATATCAAAATCTATGAACTAACGTTCATATCATGTTCAACAATACTTCGGATCGTTTATCTCCAATCTTTTTTGCTAATCACTGTATACAATGAAGCAATGATAGCCTTCTTGCCTCCCGCCAATATGGAAAACAGTTCGAATAAACAAATAATTCAATGTTCACCAGCATTGATATGCTTGCTTTGGAATTTTTGTTTTGTGTGATAATGAGAGAATTATTACTGAGTAATTGAATAAGATTCCCCGACGTACATACGAGTTACCTAAATATTTAGCATCTCAAAATTATGAGTCATTAGGAGATAGGCGAAGTATTAGATTAACTAATTCCCCCATTTGGTGATACAGAAGCTACAGGATATTCGGTTAGAAGTTGTCGGCAGTTAGAAATGAACTGAACATTGATTGATTCTGAACTCAAAAGTAGGAATAAGCTCTCGTTCGGTTTATGAAATAATATTAGTTGTTCCGTTACGTTATTCAACATCCGCTGCATTCAAATTTCAAAATAAACTTTATAAGCAAACAAATGAGATCATCAATATCCCCCAATAGTAGCAGACATATTTATGGATAGTTGAGAGCATAACGCTTTTAGAACGTGTTTAATCCTGCTCCTAGTTTACGTTGGAGCTATGTGGATGACACATTCACTACTGCGTTGAAATCTGAACATATCCCTCATTTTTCCACACACATACAAACGCAACAGTAGACGGAATCCGATTCACTTCTGAGTTAGAAAATGAACAGGGTGAGTTGACCATACGGCACTGTAGAATAAAACGGAAAGAAAAGATGGTGGGCTAGATACTACTAAATGGCATTGATAGGAAACCGGCACACATTCTATTAAATATTTACACTTTAATACATCCCATCCAGAATCGGTAAAAGAAGAGAGGTTTAGTTAAATGTTTGTATAATAGGGGTTAAGAGCTTAACTAGTAAGTCAGGAGATTTAAATAATGACATCAAACAAATGAAGAAGATATTACTTCTGACGGATAAGCACACTAGCCACGAGAATTTATTCAGAAATGCATGAATAGCCATAGAAAAACTAAGATTGACAATAAAGATGACGAAAATAATATCGAATTCAAAGCCTCTGTAGTACTGATGTGCATAGAGAAGCATCGTCAGAGGCCTTACGTAGAATTCTTAATGAAGATGGAATTAGGAAGGTAAATAAACCAACCAAGTTTCTCAGAGATAAAATTTTTCGGCTTAAGGACTCAACAGATCCAATTAAGCGAAAAACAATATAACTTACCAAGTACCATGTCTGTCTGTCTGTTTGTTTTCGACATAGAACTTTGCACAAATGTGCGGAAGTTCAAGTCGCCACACTCCGTGTAGCACGCGAAGCAAGAGAAGAAAGTACAAGAAAAGCATAATAGAAACAGTGAGCAGAGGTGTGAGACAAAGGAGTAATAAAGAAAAACAAAACAGTTTCATTGAAGATCATAAGTCACAAGGAGTGGATGCATCTGCGCTAGCCACTGAGAACGATTTTGAGCCATGTCACCAATTGTTTCCAACCATAGATTTTTACCGTCCCGAGGACCCCAACCAGTGGAAGTCTACACCTTCCTACGTGGCTTAGACCAACTGTTGTGGATTTCATTGACTGGAGGCCAAGTTTTTGTTTGACCGCCGCTAGCTTTTTTCCAGCCTGACCCTATATCCGCTAACATTGCTCGTCGAGGGAGGCGATGACTAGCTGGCATACGTAACACATGTCCTAACCATCTCAGTCTTTGTAACTTCACGACTTCGTCGATTGATTTCCCCTGTTTACCTAGAACTCTACGCCTAACCTCCATGTTGCTCACCTTATTATGCCACTTTACACGGGAAATAGAACGCAGGCACCTATGATCAAAGACAGCTAGTCTTTTCATGTCTTCCACTCTCAGTGGCCAGGTCTCACAACCCATAAAGGAGGACGGAGCGGACTGATGAGCAGTACACCCGCCCTTTGGTCGATAGTCGAACATCTCGTCTACGCCAGAGTCGGCGTAAACTGGCAAATGCGAAACGAGCCCCCTGTATTCGTGCTGAGATTTCGTCAGAGATCAACCCGTTGGCACTGGCTGATGGTACTTCCCAAATAAGTGAAGCGGTCAACGCGCTCTACCACTTCACTTCCTATTTTTAAACTAGGCGTCGATGTAGTCCAGTCCTGTAACATCATCTTGCATTTGGCGGGAGCGAATCGCATGCCAAACATTCGTAGATTGCGGCTCAAGGTGTTTAGAAGACTCTGCATTTTGTCAGCGTCTTCGCCTAGAAGGACTATATCGTCTGCATATTCCAAGTCAACGAGATTATTCCCCGGTAGCAAGTCAATCTCTGAGTCGCTGAAGTCACTTAGGGTTAAGTCCATTAGTACACCTATGATGAAGTTGAATAGAAAAGGGGATAATGGGCATCCTTGACGG